AATAGGAAAGTGGAGATTTAATTTTTTTTTTTTCACATTCTATCACTGTAGTACATTTCTATGCCTGAAAGGCATGCTGGTGGGCAGCTGCCAGAGGACAGCTGCACTGGGCATAGGGTCAGGTATCATATTTATTTTAAGAGTTGATAATAATATTTAGCAGGGCAAGGTCTGTAATAGTGTGATAGGCAGTTAGGACAGGCCTAAGAAAATAGCAGAAGGAACCAGCAGATGAGGTAGTGGTTACATTGCCGGACTCCCACATGGCCAACCGCAGTTCAAGTCCCAGACCCAGTGACTTGAAACTCACGCCAGGCGTATGTGTACACATTCATGCCCAAGATCCCAGGAGGAGAATGAAGGAGAAGGGATTGTGGAGTGGCCATCCCCTGGGAAGTGATTTCTCACTTTTCTTTTCACTGTTTCTGTCTCTCTCTCTCCATTGAGTGCATGCACTCTAAGGCAAAAACTTCTTAAAAAGAGAGAAAGAAAGAAAAAGAAGGAAAGAAAGAAAAAGAGAGAAAGAAAAAAATAGCAGAAGGATACCTGTCACATCAGTCACAGTTTATCAGGAGTTACAACTAGACCTGTGCAGAGACTCCTTCCTCCGACCCGCTCTTGGTGCCTGGAAGGCAAGGCAGATCTCATTTTTCCTCTTCAGCGCCTGAGAAAGGCACATCGGGATGGCTGCTAATTTCCCCCTTATCATTCCTCATGAGTACAACAGGACCCAACAGGACATTTTGGGCAACATCCTGATTCCCACGAGGGCAATAAACTGATTGCACAGTTCATCCAAATAAGGATGCTCAGACCTTCTGTGGACAGAAGTCTGACTGCTTTTTCCTATTTTTCCAAAATCCTTTCCAGAGGGCCTAGAGGGAGTCATGGCCCCAAATGTTAACAGGTTATTTTGACCCACTGGTAACAGGGTTCTTCCTACATCCTGCCCCTGGCATAGTATTGGAGTATCTTTGTGATGTATATTAACCCTCTTTACCGCTGTACATTCCTTTCTGATCTCAGCAACCTTCCTTTTCCATTCACCACCCTAAACGTTGTAAAATCCACCTATAACCTACAAGCCTTTTGCCTCTTTGGGCCAGACCAGTTGATCTCAGCAACCTTCCTTTTCCATTCACCACCCTAAACGTTGTAAAATCCACCTATAACCTACAAGCCCCACTTCCGCCTCTTTGGGTCAGACCAGTGGAAAAACTTCACTAAATTCCAAACTCTGTCTGTCACTCTCAAAATCAAATCACAGGAACCCCTGTACCTGATCACCCCAAGAGAAAGGCATTTTTTGCCTCCTCTCTGGTCTATGACACTCATATTCTGCTTAGAAATAAACTGCATTACTTATTATTTTTACAGAGTTGGTTATTTTCCATCAACACTTGTAAGTCCACACTGAGCATGCGGGATTAGCTCATCGAATTCCTCACCTATGAGAGAGATATGCAAGCACAGGGAAAAAAAAAAAAGCCTGCACATTCAAAAATCATAGATACTATGAAAGACCTTCCCCTGCTAAGTATTCGTTACCAACTCTTGGAATAAATGTACATCTAACCCCATGCCCAGTGCAGTTGTCCTTCTCCAGTAACTGGCCACCTGCATGCCTTTCAGGTTTGGAGGTGTACCTCTTTTATATTAAAAATCCTTCTTTTCCTAGTAAAACTTCCCTTTTTCTACTTTACAAGTGTTTGTGGTTTTTCATTTTGCTCTCAGGATGGGTCTCTAATTACTTAGAGATCTGCATCTAAAGAACCAAGGATTTTGCACAATGCAGATCATCTCTCTCACCCTATGACAATAGTATCTGACTTCTTAGAATTTGTAGGCTTTTCCCTGCGCTTGTGTATCTCTGTTACAGGTGAGAATTCAATGACCTAATTTCACATATTCAGTGTGGGCTTGGAAGGTATGAGCTTCCTTATTTGGATAAACTGCCTAATCAGTTTATTGCCACAGTGGGAATCAGGATGTTGCTTGAAATATCGTTGCATCCTTTTGTATTTATCAGAGATAAATGGGAAATTAATAACCTTCCTCATGTGCTTTTCTCAGGCACTAAAGAAAAATGAGATCTGCCTCACCTTCCTGGAGCCAAGGGCTGGGTGGGAAGGAGGTATTTTCCTGGAGGGTCTAGTTGTAACTCCTATTAAGTTGCGACTGGTGTGGCTGGTGTCCTTCTGCTATTTTTTTAGGCTGCCTGCTCATTTCTAGCTAAGTGCCTATCACAGAGCCTACACAGTCAACTGTGCAGTTCAAGTCCCAGACCTGACAGCTTGAGAAACACACCCGGTGCATGTGCATGCTGATGCTCAAAATCCCAAAAGCAGGAATAAAAGATTTTGGTGCTTCCTTACTTTCCCTCTTTCATTCTCCAGCAAGCACATGAACTCTCTGGGAAATTTTTAAAATGCTATAATCTATTTCTTTTCTTTTTTTCCCCCCCTGAATACAGCCTTTTCTGTGTCCCACAGATGTGGGTATTGAGGAGTCTCATGTAATGCTCCCTGTGGGGTTTTAAAATCCAGTTTTGAGTCACTCTGAAAAACTGGTTCAAGGAGAGTATTTCCAGGTATTAAAAACAGTTTCACTGAAGCCAGTTAAGTGGTGGCATAGTGGCACTAGACTCCCATATCAGTGACCACAGTTCAAATCCTGAACCTGGCAGCTTGAAACTCACATTCTGTGTGTGTGTGTGTGTGTGTGTGTGCCCAAAATCCCAAGAGGAAAATGGAAGGGAAAGGATTTTGGGGTGGTCATCCTCCCTGAGGGTGATTTCTCACTTTGTGTCTCCAGTGAGCACACTGGCCCTATAATAAAAATCTAACACCCATGTGTGTGTGTATACACACACACACACACACACACACACACACACAAACACAAACAAAGCTTGTCATCTGGGGCCAGCAGGTGTCATGTGGGTTAAGACTATGCACATGGCAGACCACGGTTTGAATCTTGAATCTTATGATCTGAAAAATCATGCCAGACGTATGTGCTTGTGTGGCCAAAACCCCACGTGAGGAATGGAGAAGGGATTGCAGTGTGGCCATGCCCCCAGGGGCTTACTTCTTACTTTCCTTCTCACTGTGTCTCTCTGGTGAGTTTATGTGCAAGAACTTTAAACATACACACACACACACACACTTTTGTCATCTTTTACTTATTTTTAATTTATTGGCATCTGGTAAAATATCAATAAATGACCTGTAAAAATCTCTATAAATTTTTCTATGGCAAAGCACAATTTGATTTTTGTGAATTTTACACAGACAAAAATTTTACAAGGAATTTATAACTATATATGTATTCCTATCATACAAGTCACATATATAGTTAATATGAAGTTATCGATTCACCTTTTAGCTCTAAACTTTAGGGTCTGAAGTTCAATGATGTATTTTGATCACTTTTAACTTTTATTTCTGGTTGACCACTTTTAAATTGTAACACATTACCTGCAAGAAATCATTGAGCAAATGATAAAAATTAGTCTTACATTTTTGTGTAATTATTGAATCTACTTCAAAACACTTGGCAACCAAAAATCACCACCCTGGAACTGATATAATATTAATGTTCTAGTACACACAGGTTTACTCATACACTTAACTGTGCCAGAAAAACACAGTCACACACATAATTTTTTTTTTTGCAGTTTTACAAATTTCACATTGTCAATGAAATATTTTAAACATTTACTGAAGAAATTCTTTTACAAGTTACTTTTAAAACTTGAAGTCTTCAGAGTCCTGATTTTTAGCTGTTGGCTTCACACTCATTTGCATCATCATGGTTATTTGCCTCTGAAATAAGATTCAACATGCCTAGTGAAAATCACTGACATAACGAGGCATGACATTTGTTTTATCTATAATTTTGGGAAAAAGAAGCTTACTTGGGTCTCATTATATTAGGGTTATTCACAATTGTGTGCCCACTCCATGAAAATCCCTTGCTGTTCCTTTATCAGTGCACTCTCGGACGGACCACATAGAGATTCTCTTGGGATGAAGAGCCAGTTTTCCAGTCATCAGCAACTGCTTTCTCTGTCACTATGAGGGGGGCTACGCTCTCTAGTTTAATCCTTATAAAGATGGTTCCACATAGTCATCTCATGGGGACAGAATTTTAATAACAGTAATCTCTTTCAGATGTCATGTTAAGCTTGTCTTCCTTTCTCTGGAAAAATTCTCTATTCTCTGGTCTCTCTATTCAACTCTCAGTTTGTCTTTGTAATAACTTCCCAGGATCTGAGATTTCAGACATGTAGCAATTCAGATGAGAATTCATGAGGTAGGGGCGAAGGTAAAAAAAAAAAAAAAAAAAAAAAAAAAAAAAAAAAAAAAAAGAAAACAAACAAAAAAAGTTGTTGTTGTTGTTGTTTTGTTGTTGTTGTTGAGAGGTTTTCGCTATAGGGCGCGTCTGCTCGCCAGACAGACAGAGACAGAGAGACAGAAAGTGAGAAATCACCACCCAGTGGGGATGGCCACGCCGCAATCCCTTCTCCTCTCGGGATCTGGGGCACGCACGCACACATGCCCGGTGTGAGTTTTAAGCCACTGGGTCTGAGACGCGACATGCGGTCGACTACGTGGGAGTCCAGTGACATAGCCATTATGCTAACTGCTGGTCCCAAGAAACTAATCTTAAAAATCAAAGGAATAGTTACAAAACTTGCCTCACCAAAAGCGTTCTTTCAAGCTTAACTTAAATGATGAACACTTAACCAGAGGTCAGCATCCTCCCACTCAGAAGACTCTCACATTACAAAACATATCCTAAAGAAAAAAAAGATAGTGCTATTTGAGGAGCAGGAGGAAACCTTGAAAATAAAGACTAGTGGTTAGTATAATGGCTATGTCGCTGATCTCCCATGTAGTAGACCACAGTTCAAGGCCTGGACCCAGTGGCTTAAACTCACATCAGGTGCATGTGTATGCATACCCAAGATCCTGAGAAGAGAATGGAGAAGGAACTGCAGTGTGGCCATACCCCCCGGGGGGTGATTTCTCCCTTTCTGTCTCTCTGTTAAGTGCACGTGCCCTGTAACAAAAACCTCTCTCTCTCTCAAAAAAAATAGAGCTTCTTTATACCACTTTGGATATATGAAAATAAACCAACTTGTCCTGTATATTGGCATTCATTCTTGATGCTTCATACAGAACCCTTTCTAGTCTAAAATTCCAGTTATCCATTATCCATTCCTGGGCTATACATGTATATATGTGTGTATGTATTCTTAATGAAGAATATCCCTTGGACTCTAAATCCTAAGCAGTGATCTGTTCATGGCAATGCAAATGGAAATCTCAAAGCCCTAGTGGAATCTTTGCTACCTGGCTGCTTAGTAGTTCCTAAAAGGTCAAATTAGATGAAAACCTTTGTATTTATTTGTTTCCAACTAGTTTTTTATTAATGATGTCATTTACTATAGCAAAATGGCATACATTCCAAAAAGGAAGATCTGACATAATCTGAAAAATCAGATACACCCATGATTATTTTCAACTCTGATCCATATACAAATATATTATCACAATGGTTTTAAGAATGAATATTCGTTTTACATTCTTGTTCTGCATTTTTTACTTCATATTGTAGCCATTTTCCTAACTTTTACAAAATTGTCACATATAACAGAAATTTACATTCTTATAAATTTCTTTATAAGAAATTACCAATGGGGAAATCATGTAGTAAAGCCACATACTGGAATATTGTTTTCTAGTTTAAGTTCTAAAAAGTAATCTTTTCAATCTTCTCAGCAACAAGCTGTTAACATTCTATTTAGTCTTTATGTTAAAAGAGGTTTCTCTGACTCCTAATTACTCCACAGTCGATGGTTTTCTCTCAGATTCAGGTCTAAATGCTTTCTACAAGGAAAAATGCCAATATTTACTACTTTCATATGAATGCATCATAGGGACAAATTTGATTTTGTACATGGGAAGTAGTAAGTTAAAATATGTAGTTCATACACCCACTTCCTTCTTCAAAACACATTTTTCAGATATACAACTAAGGGCGATTTAGTTTCCCCACATAGATTGTTATTTATAGTAGTTATCCCTATTATCATTTAAAATACATTTTAAAAAAGAATTAAAGAAAAAAGAATACACTCTGGTTGGAAGATTTCCAAACTAGTTACTTTCATAAGGCTTCTCCTCAGTATGAGTTGCCTGATGCCTAATAAGTTTAGAGCTATTGATGAAAGCTTTCCCACACTGATGACATGTAAAGGGTTTCTCTCCAGTATGAGTTCTTTGATGTACAATAAGTCGAGCACTCAAGCTAAATGTTTTCCCACATTGATTACATTCATAGGGTTTCTCTCCAGTATGAGTTCTCTGATGTTGAGTAAGGCATGAACTCTGTCTGAAGGACTTCCCACATTGATTGCATTCATAGGGCTTCTCTCCAGTATGAGTTCTCTGATGCACAACAAGAACATAACTCTGGCTGAAAGATTTCCCACACTGATTGCATTCATAGGGTTTTTCTCCGGTATGAGTTCTCTGGTGCATAATAAGGTGAGAACTACGGTTGAAAGATTTTCCACACTCATTACATTCATAGGGTTTCTCTCCTGTATGAGTTCTTTGATGTGCAACAAGCTGAGAGCTCCAGCTAAAAGATTTTCCACACTGATTACATTCAAAGGGTTTTTCTCCTGTGTGAGTCCTCTGATGAGCAACAAGTTTATAACTTTGACTAAAGGATTTCCCACACTGATTGCATTCATAGGGTTTTTCTCCAGTATGAATTCTTTGATGGGCAATAAGTTTATAGCTCTGAATAAATGATTTCCCACATTGATTGCATTCATAGGGCTTCTCTCCAGTATGAGTGCGTTGATGTGCAATAAGTTTATAACTCTGCCTGAATGACTTTCCACACTGACTGCATTCATAAGGCTTCTCTCCAGTATGAGTTCTCTGATGCACAACAAGGACATAACTCTGGCTAAAGGATTTTCCACACTGGTTACATCTATAAGGTTTTTCTCCAGTATGAGTTCTCTGATGGGAAACAAGGTGCGAGCTCCGGCTGAAGGATTTCCCACATTCACTACATTCATAAGGTTTCTCCCCTGTATGAGTCCTTTGATGTGCGACAAGATGTGAGCTCCAGCTAAAGGATTTCCCACATTCACTACATTCATAAGGTTTCTCCCCTGTATGAGTCCTTTGATGTGCGACAAGATGTGAGCTCCAGCTAAAGGATTTCCCACATTCACTACATTCATAAGGTTTCTCCCCTGTATGAGTCCTTTGATGTGCGACAAGATGTGAGCTCCAGCTAAAGGATTTCCCACATTCACTACATTCATAAGGTTTCTCCCCTGTATGAGTCCTTTGATGTGCGACAAGATGTGAGCTCCAGCTAAAGGATTTCCCACATTCACTACATTCATAAGGTTTCTCCCCTGTATGAGTCCTTTGATGTGCGACAAGATGTGAGCTCCAGCTAAAGGATTTCCCACATTCACTACATTCATAAGGTTTCTCCCCTGTATGAGTCCTTTGATGTGCGACAAGATGTGAGCTCCAGCTAAAGGATTTCCCACATTCACTACATTCATAAGGTTTCTCCCCTGTATGAGTCCTTTGATGTGCGACAAGATGTGAGCTCCAGCTAAAGGATTTCCCACATTGATTACATTCAAAGGGTTTGTCTTCAGAATGACTTCTCATGTTTTGAGCAAAGGATGGACTCTGAGAGGTTTTACTACATTTATATTGATTCTCTTCTGCAGGAGTTATCTCTTGTTCATTACGGGATATGCTATGGTTCGAAACTGGCCCACACTGCTTAAAATGAAAGGTGTCTCCTCCTGCATGAATTTCTTCATGTATATCTAGGTGTGTATTATGGCTAAAAGACTGAATACTGTCACTAAATACATAGGGTTTATCTTTTGTTTGAGTTCTTGTAAACTGAATAAGGTGAATGCTCTGAGGTTTTCCACAGTCATTATTTTCACATAGTTTCTCACTGTCATTAATCTTCTGATGACTGTTTACAACAGAATTATGATGCAATTTTTTAACACATTTATGAATAGTGTGCCTTATAGGTATCACTGGGGGTGAAAGAAGACTGGTCTTCATCAGACCACTCTTTTCAAGTTCATCGCTTTTACAGTCTCTCTCATGAATAATAGTTCTCCTTGGAGTGATTGCCACTTCTTGTAAAAGTCTCTCTCTTTTTTTCTGTTGCATCTCCAGCTGGTCCTTAAAATCGTGGACTTTTTCACATGAAGATAACCAAGGATCATCTCTTGTCAACTTTTCTATCTTCACTCCATGGGATGGTTCATCATCAAAAATGCTCTGTTTTGAAGATGATTCTCTTCCAAGTGTAGTGGCTCTGTCTGGAAGAAAGCAAAATGAGACTTCTTAAACAAAAAATAGTACAGCTGAAATAGTAAAATAAGACTGACAAGAAAGTATGCATAATATATGTGGATCTGTGGCCCTATAACCTGGGTCAAGAAAATAAGTGGAGATAATGAAGAAGTACAGAACACCCCAGCCCAACAGTATAAAAGGACATTAAAATGGAACTATTTCAATCTTAGTTTTGCATAAACAAAAAACATACTGCATGCCAAATACCTAAATATTCCAACCTAAGATCATGGATGCAGAATCTATAGAATCTCAACTCAATTCTGAAAGCCTCAGCAAAGAAAATGGATCTTTCCCATCCTCTTTAGCGTGAGACATGTATTTACTGACACAGAGATTAGTGTCTATAGGAATTTCTGGAGGCATACAACTTGCTAGTATAGTTGTAGCCACAAGACATGAGTAAACTACATTTGTGAACTCAGGAAAAGGAATGGGATACTATTCTACTTCCCAAGATGCCCTTAGAGCTAATATGGCCCTATGGATTCTTGTGATTCCAACAGAGAGAATGGAGGTTTGCTCATAGGTGAACTGGGTGATGACTAGGTAAAGCAACTGAAAGTTCTGGAAAAATCGTGATCCATACCAGATGAAGAAAAATGTGGTAACTCCTTTACAAACAAGCCTAATATGTAATGACTCTTAAGGTGTCTGGTTCTTGCCTGGACATGTGCTGGAAAATTTTTTTGTATTCTTTCTCTTCAACTAGGAGATTGTATCTGGCTTGAAATGCTAATGGGAAAAGACACAAAACTTTGGTGTTTAGGCTGAAGACAAAAAAAAATAATAATAATAAAAATAAAATCAGTACAGAAATCGGTACAAGCTCTAGTCCAAGAAGTTCTATTTTCTCTTTTTCTTTGTTTTTTTTAAGAATTATTTTATTTAACTTTATTTATTTATTTACTTACTTACTTAAATTTCACCAGACAGGGACAGAGTGAGTGAGTTAGGGGGTGTGAGGTGGGTAGAGAAAGCAAGAAAGCAAGCTGCCAAGCCCGGGACTTGAACCATGGTTGGCCATGTAGAAGTCCAATGCCCCTAACCACCATGCCACCTGCCGGCCCCGAAGCTATACTTTTTCTACCTTGCAAATCAAAATTAATGTTTTCTGGGGAATAAAGAACACAAATACAATCTATCAATCTATGTGTGACCTAAATCATTCTAGCTACTGAACTGTACAGCTCTTAATAGGAACGTGAAATATTTTCAGTAGACAGACCTTCTTAAAAGGGGACTAGAGTCTTACCCCAGGAGAACAGGTCCCTGTGGTTCTGCAGGAGCACACCTCTGTTCAGGGTCCTCTGAGAAAGGTTCCAAGTGCCTTGTTCCTCTTGAGTGAAATCCACAGTCACAATTTTGAAGTTCATTTCTTCCTAATATAGGATATATATTACTGTTCAGCTGGGCATCATTTCCTTCCAATGTTTATGGGAGAGAAAACGTTTTGCAGATGAATAAAGGAAAACCTGATGACCTGGGAATTGTCCTGAGATTGTCAGTGTCTGGGGCCAGCAGGTGGTGTGGAGGCTAAGATGTGGGACTACCACATAGCTGACCACAGTTTGAGTCCTGGACATGGAGGCTTGCTTTCTCACTCCCCTGCCCCTCTGTTGTGAATTAAAAATAATTATAATAAATAAATAAATAAATTAATTAATTAAAATTATTCTTAAAAAAAAAAAAAGAAAGAAAGGAAAAAAGAGACTGTCAGTGTCCAAAGTATTCTAGTTAATATTCAGGTAGCTAGCTTCTGGGTGAGCTCCTTTGGGTTTGGACGCCAAACCTATTTTTATAACTACAAAAGGAGTAGCAGATAAAAAGTGATATTAACTGTTTTCTCACTCATCCACCTTAAAAACGCATATTCTGACTTTTTTCTTTTAGGGAATTATTTTATTTAACTTTATTTTGATTTGACCAGAGAGGGACAGAGCAAGAGAGAGTGAGAGAGAGAGTGTGAGTAAGTGAGAAAGCAACCCACCACATCCGGGACTCAAATTGTGGTTAGCCATGTGGGAGTCCAGGGCCCTTAACCACCATGCCACTAGCCAGCCCTACATATTCTGATTTTTGCACTGGTGAATATTCCTATTTAGGAATTTTACATTTCTAAGAAACTAACAGAGCAGGAGTCAGCAAACTTTTTCTATTGAAGGCCAGATAATAAATATCTAAGGTTTTGCAGGCCATCCAGTCATCATTATAACCACTTAACAGTTGTTGTAGTAAGAAAATACCCATAGAAAATATAGAAACAAGTAGGTGTGGCTGTATTAAAATAAAATTTTGCTTACAAATATAGGCAGAGAGTGGCCAGCAGTTGGTATGGTGGTTAAGGTGGGTGGATCCCATATGGCTGACTTCATATTTAGAGTGCTGGACCTGGGCTTGAGAATCACACTAGGCACATATGATGCATATGCAAAATCCTGAGAGGAGAATGGAAGAGAATGGATTATAATGTGGCCATCTCCTCTGGGGGTGATTTCTCACTTCTCTTGTTCTGTCTCTGTGTCTCCGGTGAGCACACGTGCCCTATAGCAAAAAACTGAAAAAAGAAAACAAACAAAGAACAAAAAAATAGGCAGGGGTCAAATTTGGCCCGTAGGCTGTAGTTTGCTAATGCCTGAGACAGAAGGTAAATAAAATAGTTATATCCTCAGTAGAAGTGTAAGTTGAAACAACTTTCTGGATTGGCTATATACATATAAATAATATCTTATTTTGAAATATAAGGATGAAATATGAGACTCAACGAAAGGCAATATGTATAGATTAAGAGCATTAGACTTGTTAAAACTTGGGTTTTCTATAAGGAGCATATATTGGGACCAGCAGGTGGCGAAGTGATTAAGCCACTGAATATGGCCAACTGCAGTTTAAGTTCTGAACCTAGTGACCTGAAACTCATGCTGGCACATGTGTATGCATGCCCAAAACCCCAAGAGAAAAATGGAAAAGGGATTGCAGTGTGGTCACCCCCTCCCCCCATGGGGTGATTTATCACTTTCTCTCTATTTCTGTCCATCCCTCTGGGAAATGAAAGTTTCCTAAAGCAAAAATCTCTATTAAAAAAAAAAAAAGCATGTATCTAGATTAAAAATAAATCTAATCTGATCATCTTTTTTTTTTTCTTTTAGATTTTTGTCATAGGACATGTGTACTTGCTGGAGAAGCAGAGAAAAAGTGAGAACTCACTCCCTGCTCCGGGGGAATGGCAATAACACAATCTCTCCTTCTCCATTCTCCTCAGGAATTTGAGCATGCACACACATGCACCTGGCATGTTTTTCAAGCTACCAGGTCTGGGATTTAAACCATGCAGTCAGTCATGTGGGAGCCAGCACCTTAACCACAATGTCACCTGCTGGCTCACTGAAATCTGTCTTTTCATGATTAGCTTATTCCACTTCTATTTATCAGACTTAATTAAACCTGACTTATTGGGCTGTTGAGAATTGTGATGATACAAAGGGTCTTTAAAAAGTTCATGGAAATGTGCACTATAAAAAATATGCATGGATTTCAAAAATTTTTTTATACTAAAATAAACTCATAATTAAAAAGTTATAGTTACTGGGACTAGCAGTTGGCATAAGGGCTATGTTGCTGGACTCCCATGTAGTCAACCATGGTTCGAGTCCTAGACCTGGCAGCTTAAAAAACTCATGTAGGGAGTGTGTGTGTGTGGGTGTCCATAATCCTGAGAAGAGAATGGAGGAGAAGGGATTGTGGTGTGGCTATCC